AAAATATTATGCCAGTCCAAGAATGCACATTATCAATTATTTTTTAAGATTTGAAAGACAACTTAGCAAGTTGCAGTCGGAATATCGGTCCTTTACAGGTAACAGCCTTTCACAAGTTTCAGCCTTTGATAAATTTCCTCCTTTCACAAATTCCTTGTTTTCATCATTTTCAGCCTTTCACAAGTTCCAATCTTTCAAAAATATCATTCTTCGATACAAATTTCCACCATTGAGAAGTTCTCACCATAAGAAGAGCATCGTTGGGTGGTTGGCGGGTGCTCTGGTGTGGTTTGCTTTTTTTCCTATCAAACATCTATCGTCCTTATCTCCCCTCCTTCTTTTTTTGTGTATGTTACTGTCTTGTAACACCTCTAATCTTCTGGCGCTCATATTACCTTATGCAGTTGCGAGCGTCGTAAAACCTCTACTAAAACTAAAGAGCATCAACTTAGCACAAAGACTAGACTTTCCTTCGTGACACTCTAGACACACCTCCATAACACACTAGACTCATCTGTATAGCCTCTAGACACACCTCCATAACACACTAGACTCATCTTTATGGCCTCTAGACACACCTCCATAACACACTAGACTCATCTGTATGGTCTCTAGACACACCTCCATAACTTCTAGACTCATCTGTGTATGGTCTCTAGACACACCTCCATAACACACTAGACTCATCTGTATGGCCTCTAGACACACCCCCATAACCTCTATACTCATCTGTATGGCCTCTAGACACACCTCCATAACTTCTAGACTCATCTTTATGGCCTCTAGACACACCTCCATAACCTCTAGACTCGACTTCACAACACCCAAGACCCACCTTAACGACACTCTAGACTCATTTTACCTCTAACTTCACGACCTCTAGACTCACCTTTATGACAATCTAGACTCACCTTCAAGACGCTCTAGAGTCACCTTCATAACTTGCTAAACTCAGCTTCACAACACCCTAGACCCACACTCTAGACTCACCTTCAAAACCCCAAGACTCACCTTCACGACACTCTAGACCCACCTTCATGATCTTTAGACCTTTTGTACCTCGAAACTCACCTTCATGACACTCTACTAAGCTCACCTTACCTCCAGACTCGCCTTCATAACACCCTAAACTCACCTTCACAACACCCAAGACCCACCTTAACGACACTCAAGACTCATTTTACCTCTAACTTCACGACCTCTAGATTCACCTTCACGACCTCTAAACTCACCTTCAAGACACTCTAGAGTCATTTTCATAACACTCTAAACTCACCTTCAATCATCTTCATAACACCTTAAACTCAGCTTCACAGCACCCTAGACCCACCTTCATAACCCCATGACTCACCTTCACAAAACTAGACCCACCTTCAGGATCTTCACACCCACTGTACCTCTAAACTCACCTTCATGACACTCTACTAAGCTCACCTTACCTCTAGACTCACCTTCACAAACACCCTCGACCCACCTTCCCGACGCTTCCATAGACCCACCTTCAACCTTTGTGGCCTTCAGATTAGACTCACCTTCATGACCAGGTGCATGAGCATCTGCTGCCCCTGCTTTCCCTCGTACTTGTCCTGCAGGTTGTCCGGGCTGAGGTCGAAGAAGGTGGCGCCCAGCTCGTAGCACAGTGCGTCCACGAGCATGCGTTTGCCGGAGCCGTGCGGGCCCACGAGGATGAGCGACTTATAGAACGGCGCCAGAAGGTGGACAGAGCTGGAGCTCATGGGCAGGATGCCGAAGTCGAAGACCTAGGACAATTAATGATTGATTCTTAAAATGTAGGAGCTTTTACGCCCCAATTGACATAATCTAGACCATTTAAAAGCCTGAATTTCATCTAGACTATTTTTAGAAGGCTGAATTTTACCCTGCCCGTCAGCTGAGAGGGATAAAAAGGCAGACAAAAACTGACACACTCCTTAACAGTACTCAAACTCAGGGATTATGTGTGCGACGGTGGGGCGCCTATTATCTACACCAACCATGCTGGTCCTACAAAGATGGAAATTATTACTTTTTTATTGCAATATTCTTTATTAAGTCTAAACGAGGCTTCTTGTGTTGCTAACACCAATAATGAAACCGATCAATGGACACAAAGCAAAGTTTTACTTAAGAAAACTCCATCTTCTGTTTAGAGAGAAAAATGGGGTGCCAAAGAATGATATATTGACAACTTTAAAGAATGAGTAAATATTGATTTTCTCTTTTTAACAGATACAGGGATGCCACACAACAAATGCGATGGGAGAGAAACACACAAAACATGAGGGGAACCGATGGACAGGAGGCATAGACACATATACAACCACACATGCGCGCGCACACACACAAACACACACACACACACACACACACACACACAGCGAGAGAGAGAGAGGGAGAGAGAGAGAGAGAG